CTTCGATTGTCATCCGTGAAAGAAGATCAGAAACTCTGTCCTCGATGGGAGCAGCAGCGTCCTTGTATACTGCCTGTGCCGTGTCATTTCTTCGGGCAAGACCGTTAGCGCTACTGGGAAGGTATAGAATATACCCAACTAGAAGAGAGGCTACGCTGTAGAGAGGCGAGCGCATCTTAAATTGAAACACGAGTATAGCTTATCTAGACGATAGGTTATAGACAAGGTACCACGGTTCTTATAAGTACGTTCCCACCAGGGTGTGCGGGCCGGTGGGGGGATGTACACAAACTCAATGATGTACCGCGGACAAATGTCTCCCGACATGGTTGCTGTATATTAAGGTACCGGCTCAATGGGTAATGATATATGCGATGCCATTGGCATTGAAGCCAGTGATGACGTCGCACCTGACTGTGAAGTTTACCTGAGCTCGATGAGTGCTAGCCTCTGGGAAAACTACTAGAACAAATGTTCCAAAGCCATCAATTGTCCCAAATTTACCAAATCTGGAACTTGAATTGGATGGTGTGTCAATAATCCGCAAAGACGGTGACAGGAATAGTGTGTAGCTCTTGGTTTGATTGGCGGAAGAACTGGTGGCTGCGCTAGCCGAAGCCGCTCCTCCCCCGCTTCCAAGCCCGAGATCTTCGACCAGCAATGCTATTTGCTTCTTGGTAACCCCGGATTCCCATACTTCGTAGTACTTAACACTAGAACTATCTCAGGAGATCGTATGCAGTTCCCAAAGGTTCGCGGGAACTAGGAAGCGGTTCCGGAAGCTCTGTCACAGACTTGCAGCTGTACATGGCCGCGGGGAAACGTCTGCAGTCCACACAATCAAATCATTGAAGATGAGTGCATTTTCGATTTTCGATATAACGTGCGAAGGCTTAATAGAAACTCCTATTATTGTAGATACTATCTTTGTTCATAAATTATGTGTTATCTAGCAAACCCCAGAAGCTCTGGTCGTATTGTGGAGTATCTCATGCACTCATTGTCCATCTCGGTCGTCAACTAAACCTGGAAAACAAAACTCCCATAAACGCCTGCATGGTGCTAGCACCTGGTATAACCATCTTTCCATAAACTCTGCCCATAAAAGAATTTCGGCGACATCGTGAAAATATCAAATCTAGGAAACGCAAAGTAACCTCTCATCGCACATAACATCGTTATGAAATGCGCCAGTTCAAACTGCAAGTAAGAAAGGAACGAAGAAAGCAACCCACCAAACCCTCTCCTTGCCTCTCCCACTCAAACCGCCAGGAACTCCAGCAGTACTCGGTGCAGGTGGTGCAGGTGGGATCTCTGTTTCTGCGGTTGGGCTGCGTGTCGAGGATGTACTTAATGTGGATCCCGCAACGATAGCACTGGAGGGCTCTGGTGTAGGCCTCGATATAGGAGTAGCAGAACCCCTAGAAGCGGAGGGGTTGTACGAAAAAGGTGGTGAGGTAGGAAATTCAGTGGTAGAGCTCCCAGAAGGTACTGAGGATGTAACTGAGCCTGAGGATGTGACTGAGCCTGAGGATGTGACTGAGCCTGACGATACAACCGAGCCCGACGAAGTAGCTGAGCCCGAGGATATAGCTGAGCCCGAGGATATAGCTGAGACTGAGGATGCAACCGCGACTGAAGTGGTTGTAGTGGCTGGCGCACTTGAAGCGGAGCCTGAAGAAGGCGTCGGAAGGGAAGTGGACAAAGTCTGGCTGATTACAGTAATCGTTGTCGCAGTTTGTGTCGAAATGGCCGATGGCGCGAGACCAGGGATTAATATGGAGGAAAGGACAGGGAGGTCTATAGTATAGCTGGCTGTCGAACCTGGGACAACAATGGCTGTGTATGCGACTTGGGAGGAGCTGGCTGATCCAAAGGCTGATGGCGGAGTATTGGTGCCGCTCGGGGTGGTGGTAACAGTAAGAGGGTGTACATCCAGAAGGACATGTGAACTGGGAGATACCGATACTGCTGTCGGAGTGGGAAAAGAGCTAGTTGCTGGCGATACAGTCGGGTATGGAACGATGCTTGCTGTGGACCAAATCGAAGGGCTGGTTGATGTTTCGCATGGCTCTGTTGATGATAGCAGCACAGGTGCTCTTGAGCCAGATGGATACGGAGGTGGGATTAGGGCAGATGTAGCTGTGGAAGTCAGTAATCTTGACCTTCATAATAGCAGAACGTATATGGCTGACTTACTTGTATTCATCTCATAGACTTTCTGCACAGCGTTACCGAGTACGCGCGTCGACATCGCGCCTAGAATCCATACCGAAGGGCTTCTCATAATGAACGAGTGTGGAAGTCTGATCGCACGACCGGTGAGGCGCTCTTATTGGCCAGGCACTGATTTCACGGTCCAATCTTCACTTCCAAAGAATGCAAATCAGCGAACGGAGAATTTGGGACTTATTTTAGTCGCGACCAAGATTAGCTCTGGGGCCTTTTGTATTAATACTAAGGAAAGTTGATGAAAACTCTATTTCAAGGCCGGAGCGATTGCGATGAGGCTGGGATCTCGCGTGTACCAGCCACCCACCAAAACCTGCCGCCGGGGAACATGATGTCGCACGCGACTACGTTCATCGTAGCGCAGCGCCTGCATGCCGCCACCGGAGATGACCCGAAACCCTCCGGTTTATCTATTTGGGCGCAGGGCATGACCGCCAAGATGTTGTGATGGTGCGGTGAGCGATGTGATGGCATTTGCACGGTCCTTTTCCACGCAAAGGCTACTCAGCAAACATGGCGGCGTGACACGAACGCACCGCTTTGCACGTGTAATGAGACTTGTAAATTACCAAAGCATTTCGCCTACGCACATGTGGGATAGTCACTGAACAGATACACCGCCGGGAGCAGTGATTGAACTCGGCAACTGGCGTCAAGCGTAGGCTTCGCATGTGGATAGCGGGGCCGTGGCAGTGTTCCTTTTGGAAGGGCAACGATAAGGACACGGCAAAAGATCACAACCACGAATCAAGAAAGTTCAGGAGATCAGAGAAGTGCATTATTATTTATTAGTGTTACTCTAGCTAATTCAAACCATGGCAGCTCCGCCTAACACCTGTAGTTTTTTGTCAGCCCGTGTCTTGAAGATACATGAACATGAGACAGAAAATCGTAGTTGCAATCAGACAGCAGTTGGATACAAAATTTGGTCGACAGCGAATTCCGATCAGGTCTGTGATTAAATGTTTTTTCATCATTGCATATGCGAAGGAACGAGAAGAGGAAACGGTTGGACTTACTCCCTCACTCGACTTTACGACGTTTGAAAAAGGTATCGATGCGCCTTTGTGACGCGTCGTAACGTAAACTACCAACACCGCCACGCGTGCGTTTAAGGCCTTGTAAGTGATCCTTGCTGTTGACTCTGAGAATGAACGTAGACCATCCTTGTAGGCCACGCGGCTTAGAGGCTTGCGGGGCACCAATCACCAGCTGTGCTGTACCTTCTACTCTCGATTTTGGTATATGGACATTGCGGAGATTTTGAGGCGCAGTTAAAGTTCCAGTAAGTAACTCTGAAAATGTTGTCACTGGTGTCATAGTGGCCTCCATGATTGACTTGTGGTACTCGGCTTCCGTCCTCATGAAGTACAACTCGAGATAGCCGGTGTTTGACCAGCCACCCAGATGCTCTAGCGATTGTCGTACCGCCCCTTCAATACCATGAGACAGACATACCCTCCGACGCGGAAGACGCAAAAGTATGCGCTTCCAAAGAGTAGAGAGGAAGATGCCATGCGAAACGATAGCAATAACAGGGGTAAAGTTGCAAGAAGAGTCGTCGAACAGAGGCAAAAGGTATTCCTCGATGAAAGCATCTGCGCGACGTGCCATACTTTCTTTCGATTCTGCTTCCGCGAAACCTGCTGTACGCTTGTTCTCTTGCCGACGATGGTCCTTGCCAGGAGTACCCGTCTCAAACGGACGGCTGTTGGGCTGCTTTCCCTCCATCGATCCGAAATCCTTCTCTGCCAACACCGGTAGCTGCACAACCTTGGGAGCCGCTCTCACGGTCCCATTGTCGCCTACTGGTGTCAATTGAGCCTCGCGTATCTTGCTGGCTGTTTTCACAGCCCGCTGCAGGTGCGATGAGAACAAGTGGGTAAAGGTCAGCCCGAGGGACTGGAGGTATAGACCTAAACGGGTGGCCTGTTGGTAGCCATGATTGGTGAGGGCTGAATCCCTACTGCCAGCACTGAAACAGTTAGCATCGAGTGCTGTGAAGAGGACGAGTTGATGGGGTGCTTACTATACTTGGGCAATGTTGTCCACCGTCTCTCCGTGGCGGATCAGAAACAGCCGTATTGATCGCGCCATGTTGCCCTCCATGGGCGAGGGGGCGCATTGTTGAGCTTCATTGCGGGATGTAAGCGAAGAGTATTAAGGAGCTGGTGGACAGACTGCCGCTCGTTTCTTTGTATGTGGTCTGTGTTAGCGCCGTGCTGACTAGCCGAATTCAGGAAGGGCACCATGGTCAAACAATGTACTGGGAGAGCCCAATAGAAACACTCAAAATGATAAATTCAGAAAATATCAGCGGATGACATCCAATGCCATTTCTCTATTAGCTACAGGTTTAAGGATGCACCAGAAAAAGAAATTACCGTACTTACAAACCTTACTGTGATACTATGGCAACTACGTTCGTATGAAAGACACCCAAGTTTAATCGCCAAGGCTCGTCATACAATACTCCCCTCTCAGATACGGGGGTTTTGATTGATATAAATCCGAAGGGAATGAAAAAAATAAATGTAAACCGTCGCAGTTGACATCACTTGCTCATCGGAAACCTCATGCCTGGAGACGGGTCCGGCTGGTTCCCCTCACCTGGGCTTGCAAAATAGTAGCTTACCGCTCCTGACCCATTCACCTTGAAGCTAGCTAGCTTCTATGACTACATGGCATTAGAACAAGAAGCTTCTACTTTTTTCCACCTGACCATCACCTCTTGACTACCCCACTTGCCTGCACCTGGTTGTATGGATATGACGGCTAGTATAAACAACTCATCCCTTCCAGAGGGCGACATTGACATCGACCTTTCCCATGATCTCGACACAGAAAACATCAGGAAAGTCGACAAAGAAGACGACCTCAACATCTTTTCAGACAGCGATAGCATCACTCTACGAACCTCACCCACTTCATTTGAAGAGGACTTACTTGACATACCCGATACTCAGGTCAGTATCCTCGAGTCAGTCATGTCATTCACATATACTTATTTCACCAGACCGCATATGCCCTACGCAAAAGGACAGACAAAAGAGGGAATTATACTTTCTTGGACCAGGACACGTCCGGGAACTTTGATCCTTCAGAGGAAAAGCGTGTCTCTAAGAAGAATAAGATTCACGCTGTAAAATTCCCTAAGAAGATTTCCGTGAAGGTGCAAGGTAGCAAGGCGAGCAAGACTAGCAAGACGCATAATGTCTGTAACGCCCCCAAGCCTACTATCACCCGCAAAACCACCAAAAACAAGAACAAGGTGGAGTCTAAGACCCCTCCGTCCAAAGAGCAAGACAAAGCCGACAAACCACCCCGTATTGTTGAGCCCCGGTACAGCAACTACCTTACTCCAGAAGCTTTGCGAATACAACCAGTCGAGTCGCGCTCTCCAAGCCCAGATATCCTCGAAGACACCGCTGGAAACAGAGGCCAAGTAATTCGGATGAATACTAGTTTCACACATCCAATTCAGTTCGGTGTCGGTTTTGGAGACGTTGATATCTTGGATTGTAGCTTCTGCAATTTGGCTGAATTTAGCTTTGTTGGCTACTTTGAGCAAGAGGTGTACTGCATACGCTGGGAGAGCGGGTGTGGATATACACACATAGCTGGCGATCAGACCGAGAACGATCAAACCAGCATGTGCCGACCGTGCGCAATAGGTACGTATTGCGTCCGACCACTTTCGATCTTTGCTAATTGTAACATCATGTAGACAGATTACAGATCATATCGTGCGACAATCATAACATTCAACGCATATACCCAGATACTGTTACTACGGACTTTGCAGAGACTCTAAACGATCTGCTTGCAGATGAAGACCCTAATACAATCAGAAAACAGTTGTTACGATGGTGCTCTATGTGCTTTTCACCGGCAGTATTTGCCTGCCGTGAGCATCAATCATCACTGTTTTCTCCGGATGAAGACATCGACGGTTGTGGCCTAAGACTCTGCGCGGCCTGTGAGACAAGGCTTAGAGAGACATTTGAGGGGAATACAAGTGTTATGGCTGCTACGCTGGGTGACGAGGACAAAGCTAAGGAAGACGACGAGGATCTGCATGGGAAGGTCAGAGCGGATGTTGGGTTCTTGAATGCAGATGGAATTCTGATGAAGAATCTGGAAAGCGCAACCGAGGGCGAGGATGAGTAATTTTCATCAAAGCCACAGTATTGTCAGGAATTCAACGTGGCATTCTATAACTATACAAAAATCCTCGGTTTCAATAGATGTAAACTTCCAACCAGCGATTTCGATTGATCCCTTACTAAATCACACAGGTATCACCACTCCAAGATTCCATCTACAGGAACCTCTGTCTCTACCTCCCGTCCTAATCCCTAATCAATGCGCAAATCGGAACTCCAACCGCTTATTCCCTTTGTCCGTTGTAGCTTGCAAATACGTCTCCTTCTCTTCCTTTGTCATGCCATCCCAAACGCGAGCTCTCCTTCTGTTAACAACAACATAGTACTGCTTCGCCGCTACAAACAACGCTAAATTATACACACAAATCGCAATCAAAATCTTGTTTCCCCTGCGATACAGCGGTTTATCATCCTGGCGGTACACGTTTTGTGATACGATCGTACTGGCTTGAAACGTCATATTGTACAGCGCCGAAGCGACCGTTCGGGTGCGCACTGTACCGGCATTGCGCGATGTGATGGCCATGAAGATGGGATGAATGAACGGGCTTCCAACGAGCAAGGTACATAGGACCCAACGCGACCAGTGCGATGCATTCCCGGGCAAGACCTCGAGAGCGATGAGAAGCGGCAAGCACCAGACTTGCGATACGAGACCGACGAGAAAACGCTGGTTAGTGCGTTCAGATACCCATGTCCAGAAAATCATCTGGATGATTATAATGACGAATGCTGGAATCTGCTACCCTGTCAGTGTATACCAGTAAAAGAAATCGAGATGTTAACTCACCGTCAACAAATTCGTCTCAAACGTACTAAACCCCAGCGACCGAAGCTGGAGTGTAATATATGCGTTCGACGGCTGACTCGGAATAAACCACGACATGCCAATCAAATAGATAGGCAACATATGGTAATCCTTCATACACTCCCACAACATCCACACACTCAATCCCTGACGATTATGCATATCCCCCTTACTTGGATCATCCCTCAAAATCCTATTCACCATAATCTTCTCCTCCCTTTCACTAAACCAGCCCTTCTCCCTACGAAACGGGTTCCAGAACTTCGTCGCCGTCTGCGTCGGACTTGCAGGAAGATAGAACCACGACGCTATACCAATGCAACCCGTGATGAGGCCTTCAATAGCGAATAGATACCGCCACCCTTCCATGCCGTTGTGGCCTCTTAGACGCAAAATGCCGAATGCGAGAAAGGCAGCGAGGATATTCGTCGCAAAGGGAACTGCACCATATATGCTCATGCGACCCGGCAGCTCGAGCCCCGTGTAAAAATAACTCATATAGAGAATGCTATCAGGAATAAAACCACCTTCTAGCATTCCAAGGATACCTCTACAAGCATAAAACGACTTCTTTCCGCTCAGAAACGCCTGCAGGCTCCCCACCAAACTCCACAGTATAATCTGAATTGGAATCCAATTATCAGGCCCAAGTTTCTTACTAATAAGTTGCGACGGCAATTCAGCGAATAAGAAGCAGAGGTAGAAAATCGTTTGCCCATAGTTGTAGTCGTTAGTGTTGAGGCCTAGGTCGCCGAGCATGTTGTCGCTGAGGGCTTGCGATATGTTGCCGCGGTCGAGCTGGAGGGCGAAGAACATGAGGCAGACCCAGGAACAGATGCGCATATCAATCTGTCAAGGTGGATATGTGAGATTTTTGGGTTGATGGGGTTGAGTAAGTGGATGAGTTACCTTTCGTACGATGCGCTTCTCCTCCGCAGGTTCCCATTCAAAGTATGGATCGTATCGATGAAAACCCTCGTATGTATTTATGGGCTTGTAGTGGTCTCTCGCAAGCCCATCTGACACAAATGTTGAGCCATGCTTTTCTTCTCCACGCTCTTTGCGAGTTTCCGTCTCCTTGTTGCTAATACTTGCTGCTACAGCAGAGTTAACCTTGTCGCCTGCAGCTAGGCTATCCAGCGGTTCTGAAGTAGCCATTTTCCAACAAAATCCTCTGTATCGGGAGCTCAAGCGCAGAAGAGGAGTGCATTTTACGCAATGTCATTGTGGGCGACGCTTCATAAACTCAAGGCGATTTTTAGCTTGTTAGGAAGACCGTGGTTTACGATCCCGTTTCCGTCCTTCGGTCCGAAACTTTGTTCTCAAGAACCCCTGTTGGAACATGCTTAAAGTTTGGGCAAACAGCGAATACAAACATGATGAATGACTGCCGACGCAGTTTTCCTAACCGTAGGGTGTTGTCACTCATTTATCTCCCGTTGCCATGTTTCGGATGGGACCATGCTAGTAATAGAGGATGTGATCACGTGCCCTTCGAGCACGCAAGGCTTCAACCAAATGTCGCGTCCTCGTACAATAGACGAGGGTCGTGTTATTCCAACCAATCGACTCAGCCTTGGTGGTGTCGAGTTCTACGTCACTGGTTACATTACAAGCAGCACGTCAAACAACACCCCCTCACGGCTAGCCGGGATGGCGCGGTCGGAGCATTTACTGACATCTGCATACAGGTGCCGGTCCAACGTCGAGACGGGGTTCTTACATGCCGCGAAGCAAGCAACTGTTGGGAATATTTTTGCCTATCTTGTCTAGCTTACATCTGGCCACAACGATGAGGCCATACACTCCATTTCTGATGCTATGCAACCGCATCCTGATTGAATGATACGCGACGATCAAGTTCTCTTGTGATACCTGTAGCGGGGTCCTTATCAGGCTTCATCCTTCGGCAGCTGGGCATTTTTGCCATCGCAGCTGGATAACTGAAGCCGCGGGTATGCTTAATTTGATCGAGAAAGATATATAAGAACTTGATTAGATGGCATAATCCATCCTTGTAAGATTCTCAGCAGTGACTTCCTACTATGGTATTTTCTGTTATTTCCGAAAAAACATCATGGCTCCAGCTGTAATTGAAACCCCGCCAGCAGACTACAAGTCTGGCGTTGGAGCATACAAAGAGTTTGGCCTGGGAGGTCCCAAGTTCTTCCAAAAGGAACTTGAGCTGAAGGGCACTGAAAAGCACTTGCCTGCTAAATACCCTCACTACTTGCCTGTCTGGGACAACGAGAAGGGACAAAAGTATGCGCCAATTCACTTCGCAACTTATTCTCGACACTGACCTCTTACCCAGACTACCCCCCTGGGAGCCCTTCACCCACGTCGAGCACGGCAAAGACGCCGACCCAACCTTCCCCAACCTCCTTAAGAATGCCACCGTCAACGACCTAACTGCCAACACAGGCGCCGAAGTCCACGGCGTCCAGCTCAGCCAGCTCACCAACGCCCAAAAAGACGAACTTGCCCTCTTCGTCGCCAAAAAGAAAGTCGTTGCCTTCCGCGACCAAAACTTCGCCGACATCCCCATCAAAGACGCCCTCGAAATCGGCGGCTACTTCGGCCGCCACCACATCCACCCTACCTCCGGCGCCCCAGAAGGCTATCCAGAGGTCCACCTCGTGCACCGCGGCACGGATGACACTTCCGTCAGCGACTTCTTCGAGGAGCGCACAAACTCCGTCGCCTGGCATTCCGACGTAACCTACGAGAAGCAGCCCCCCGGTACAACTTTCTTGTACATTCTCGATGGCCCAGAGGCAGGCGGCGACACAATATTTGCCAACCAAGCCGCTGCGTATCAACGGTTGAGCCCTGAGTTTAGGAAGAGGTTGCACGGACTCAAGGTTGTGCATTCGGGTAAGTAACTCCTAGTACTACTAGCACCCATATTTCATACACACATACAATAAGAGCGAAAAGGGAAAGCAAGGTAAACTAACTCATACGACACAGCCGTCGAACAAGCCGAAAGCAGCAAACTCCGAGGCGGCATCGTCCGCCGCGACCCCGTAACTTCCATCCACCCACTCGTGCGCACGCACCCTGCCACGGGCGAAAAAGCCCTTTTCGTAAACCCCCAATTCAGCCGGCGCATTGTCGGCTTCAAAAAGGAGGAAAGCGAGTACCTGCTCAACTTCCTCTACGATCACATTGCCAAGGGTCAGGATTTCCAGGTTCGTGTCAAGTGGGCGCCGGGCACGGTGGTGGTGTGGGATAACCGTGTGACTGCGCATTCGGCGCTGTTGGATTGGGATGATGGGGCGCGCAGGCATGTTGCGAGGATTACGCCGCAGGCTGAGCCCCCCTTTGAGACGCCATTCAAGGAAGAGGGTGCTGCAACGTTTGAGTACTGATGATGAAGTCTTCTTTTTGTTCGGCGCTAGATTGTGAGATTGCTGTACGTGCATGTAACCAACAAGATGAGGATTGGATGTGTCACGATTCAGGACCAATGAGTTAAAGTTAGGGTGAAGAAAAAGCCACTTAAACTATATATTTACTACCAAACTATGGTATCAAAAAAAGATATGAGACGAAACACTCTTTCAGCCCAATCAAAGTTAGTTTTACGTCAGAAAGATCGGGCCTGCACTCCCGATCTCTCATCAGTCGAACCCCTCTTTCAGGCAATCATCATTCGCTCCTTATCAGTGCTGACCCCTTCAATTTCTCTACTCATACAGAAGTGGAATTATGCTGATCAACCTTCTCTTACCAATGCTCATGAGCCTTCCTTGGCCCTGCCCTAGGTATATCCCATACGTACCTTGCTGCGCCTGCAATGCAACCCGTTGTAACAATGTATTCGAAAAGTACTATCGTGAATGAACTGCCGTTTGAGCCAAACATGCGTTTGGAGAATATTCAATTTGGTCGTCTAGGCGAAACCAAAGTATTCACCACCAGCAGTCATGGCGGTGTAGAGGGCTTTCCTAAGATCCTCATATGTCTCATACTCGGGCAAATCCAGCTCTGTAAAGTAGTTAGCATGCATCGGGTGAGGTTTCTAGCAATTGACTTACGATTGAAGCAAGTATGACTAGATGGTAGACGATCTTTGCTGCCATAGTCACGATGGATGTTGAACTTGGAGAAGCCATTCATGCCCTCAAGTTCCTTGAATCCATTCAGGGGCACTTTGCTCGTACCAGTGACGAATTGAAGCAACTTGGCTTGCTCTTCTTTCTCAAATGTCCGGACTGCCCGCCAGAACCACTGAATTTGTGGTGATGCAGCAGTGTAGTTGTGGTACTCGGTATTGTTCTTCCAGTCATCGACATTGATATCAGGCAGACCAGAGATGAGAAGTTCGAGTTCTTGTTCGCTGAAGATTGAGACAAGCTCTGCAGGAACGATATCATGGAAGCCCTTCAAGAAGTGATCTAGTTGTTCTTGAACGGCACCGAGGAGGCGATGTTCAGTAATAAGGCGAACATATTCGTGCTTGTTGTCCTCGGTCACTGGGATGTTGCGGCCATTCTCGATAAGGTCGACTGTTTGCATTTCGCCAAAAGCTTCGACTTCCACTGAGAAGGTTTCCGTGATGATGTCCGTAATTTCGTTATGGATCATCCACTCAAGGGACTTGTAGTACTCAAGATCGAGCGTCTCCATATCCTTAAGGCTGACTTGCTTGCCCATGATCTGCTTGTAGACAGCACGGCTGAAATGGCAATCCAGGACACGGCCTTCATAAAGCGCTTTGCCAATGATACGACCAATAAACTTGAAGAACATCAAATGCTCGGGATTAATGGAGCTCAATCGGTTCGGGTGGAAAGTGGTACGATCAGATGCGACAGGTACGAAGAGGGCGTAATCGGGGTTGAACATCTGGCGAGAGATTGACTGGAACCACTCGCGAGTAACGCCACCAGCGTCGACACCTTCTTCACCGTGGAAGCGAATGCTGAGCTTTCCGTACTTCATTTCATCTGCCGACTTGAAGTAGAGCGACTTGAAAGAGTCCAAGAAGACTTGATCTCGGCGAACGGAGAGTTGCAATGGTGGATGTGCTTGTCGATCGCCACCACGTGAGTGGAGTTTCCGGTTGAAGTAGTTGCGCTTATTGTCAAATTCCAGAACCTTGGAGTTCTTCACAAGCAAGGAGAAAGTGCCGCTCATCAGCTTAGGATTTTGGCGGACAAGATCATTCAATATCTTGCGATGTTCCTCTGTGAAGTTGAAGAACAAATTCTCCATCTTGTTCTCAGGCGGCGGGCTGGACAGCGCAAACTCCTTGGCAAGCATCTTAGACAGTGGAGCCTCCTTCAACGTAGTGTTTTTGCATACAACCATGAGAGATTCGATGAGGGGGAGGAGAGTGGTGGCAATGTTGAGCATGTTACCGCGTTGACGGATGACGGTAAGGCACTCGCTGAGCTTCTCCCAGAGAGGCGCAAATGCAGCATCCTCATATAGCGTCAAGAGGATATCTTCTTTTTGAGCTGGCTCCAGCGCCTCTGCGGCAGCTTCAGGCTTGTCTTTGCTATCGCGGGAAGGATCGAAGAGGTAATCAAGTGCGGTCAAGGCTCTGAGCAGCTTCGTCTGGTCGGAGCTTGCGGGAGAGAACTTTGCGAGAGCGATGCCTTGGACGTCAGTAGAAGAGCTTGCCTTTGAAATCTGAACTGTCAGGCTGTCAAGATCCCTGAGCGTTGAGCTAGCCAGATCTTTTGCGATACCAAGTAGCTCTTGACCAAATATTTCCTTTGCCCCTGGAATGGGCGAGAGGTTGCTGATGACTGACAAGGTCTCCTGGAATACCTTACTATTGCATTCTCGAGCCGCGAGGATCTTAGCTACGAGCCGAAGGTTGGCTTCTGGCACATCCGGTGGTGTCAATGACCTGTGCTTCTTAGTCTTGTCATCTTCAGCCTTCGATCCGTCAGGTTTGGAAGCGCCTTCCTCAGTAGCTCCAGAGTCGGGTGCAGCTGTCATCTCAGTATCTTGGCCTTGAGCAGCGCCCGTAGATGTAGCTTCGGTAGGCTGGTTCTCAGCGTTTTGGCCTTCTGCAGAACTCTCACTGGCTTTCTTCGCTTCTTCAGCAGCCTTCTCTTTCTCTTTCTTAAGGGCTTGCAACGGAGCCGTGATGACCTTGAGTAGCGTGGTCAATTGCTCCATGATGGAAGAACTCTCAACAATGAGCTTACGATCTAACAGAGTAAGCAGCGCATTGACAGGGTATTTATTTGCTTTGCTCTCTTTCGCCTTGCCCTTACGATTGGCGCGGTTCTTGAAGCCAACGCCAGTCTCGTGTTCAGTCAAGAAGAAAGACCAGACAGCAGGATTCTTCTCAGTCAGCTGAGTGAGGGTGTTGAGGCACTGCTGAACGACCATGAGTGGAGAGACGTCGGCATTGATAGATAGAGCGCCATTCTTGCGAGAGAGCTTCGGTGTCTTTTCCGCAGGTTGTTGAGGCTGCTTTGCTCGTATCGAGAGCTGGGCAAAGCTGCGTTCGACCGCGTTGACATCGGCGCTACCATCCTGAAGGATCGATAACAAAATGCTGATGACTTCTGCACGGTTTTGGCGGTTCTCGCAGACATAGCGAAGAATCGAGCTAAGGCTGGCCTTGGCACTACCTTGTTGAGGGATGAACATCAGTCGCAGGAGGGTTGCGACGCCGGCTTTGTCGAGCATTTGCACGCAAGGACGGGCCTTCTTCTTTTGACTTGGATCTTCTGGTTGGCCGCGGCGGTCGCCACGCCTATAACCAAATTCGTTAAACTGATGGAGACGGCGATCACCTCCCATTGCTCGGGCTTCCGCAGAAAGCTCTGGTGGAAGTTGTCTCAAAGTGTCCTCATCGGTATCCATGAGAACAGCAGCGCGTAAGTTAGGGTCCAAAGATGCGAAGAAGCTGGCAGTGTCCATCTCTTCCGCCTGAGGAGCGACAGCACTGCTTTGGTTGCGGCGCCGATTTTCTTCACGCTCACGTCGTCGACGTTCTTGGGCCTCTTGCGCAAGCAATTCCTCGCGGATCTCCTCTGGCAGAGCTGCTAAGAACTCCTCGTTGATGTCTGTGGGAAGATCGCCAGACTGACCGGCATCTTGCGGTGCTGAACCTCGACCTTGATTTTGAGACTGCAGTTGCTGCTGCTGCTGTTGCTGTTGTTGCTGACGAGCTTGAGCTCGTTGTTCTGCTCTGCGCTCAGCTACCTGTTGCATCAAGACCTCTTCTCGCAGCTCCTCTGGGAGAGCCTCGAGGTACTCAGTGTCAATTCCGAGATCGGTAATATCGTACTCGTGACCTCTGATGGTTGTCATGACCCTTGGCGCAGGTGGTCCAGCGGGTGCTGCAGGGACTGACTCGGCAGTCGCTGATTCACCGGAGGTCTGAGCAGCTTGGACGCCCTCCATTGCTTGTTCTCCAGAGGCAGTTCCTGCTTCGTTCTTTGGTTCGCCTTCCGATGTCTGATCTTGAGCACGGCTTGCAGCCTCTGCAGCTTCGCGTTCTCGCCGCTCGCGGTCCTCCTTTTCTTGCGCCTCACGCTTCTCACGTTCCTCGCGCTCCTTCTGCTCCTTCTTTTCTTGCTCTTCCTTCAGCTTACGAGCAACTTCAGCCTCGCGCTCCTCTTGGCGCTTCTTAGCCGCTTCAATTGCAGGCGGAACCATGACTTTGAGGATGGAATTGATGACACGCTGGCTCTTCTCAATGGCAGCAGGCCCATAGAGAATGCGAGCTTCCTCTTGCCAACGTTGGCTTGTGTACGCCTTGACAAATGCTACAGCGGAATGAGGATCTTCACGAGCAGAGCGTGAGTTGTATGTCTCTCGCATACGGGCAATATCGCGACGCATGCTGCTGTCAAAAGTCTGCATGCCCATGGAATTACCCAATGACACATGCAGTGCACCTCCATGATGAAGCAGCGTAGGGCCGCCACGGCCAGAGCTCATTGCGTTCAACAGATTGCTGATGAAGGAGACGGGGCTGTCGGTTTGGTTGAAGATACGAGGACCGCGGCTCTCGATAGCATGTACCCAGTCGCTGTTGCCCTCATTGCGCGGAAGGCCGTCACGTCCGGTGGAGCGGCCGCCTCGTTGAAGCAAGGGATTGATGCCATCATCTGTGGCTCGAGGTCCGGCTCCTGGTCGATGCGACCGATACGCTGGTACGAGGATGCGATCACCCGGACCAGCGGGGAACATCCATGGGCTGAGACGGTGCGTATGGCGGACAGCAGCGGGTGCTACATCTTCCCAGCCGTTACCCCAACCCAGTTCTGGTAAACCTTCCTCATCATCCTCTGCGCCAGGGTCGTAATGAATATCTTCGTCGTACTCTTCTTCTTCGTCATCTATACCTCATTGGGTTAGTAATCGTTTCAAGCATTCCAGAGTTTGGAGAAACAGACCTTCTTCTCCCATCTCATCGTCCAAAAAGTCTTCAATGTCGCCACCACCTTGCTGGCGCATTTGCTCCAAAAGCTGCTGAGGAGGATCGATAACGAATCCAATACCCGGAGGCATACCAGCCTCACCGTTGACGCCACCAGGGAAGTCGTCCTGCTCATCACTCCACTCATCTTCTTGATCTTCAGCCAGGCTAGCATTCTCATCATCGCCAGTGACTTCTTCCAGCGCGTCCATCGCATCCTCCATATCGTCCATATCATCATCGCCCTCATCATCCATGTCGTCCATATCGTCCATATCATCTTCGTCATCCTCGTCGTCTTCTTCCGAGTCATCCTCCGAGTCATCATCAGAGTTCATGGCGTTGCCATCGTCGTCGAGCTCGATCTCAACATCGACATCACCAGGAAGGCCCTCGATCGGTCCCATACCATCGATATCCATCTCTAGAATCTCTTCATCGTCCTCGGAGACGACATCATCATCACCAATCTCGGCCTCGTCGTACTCCATGTCATCCGCGTAAGGGTCATCATACATCATCTCTTCGCCTTCATCGTCCTCGGAGTCTTCGTCAGATTCAGACTCATGAGGCGGTTCGAACATGCCCAACGTCGAATTACGGAAAAGGTCGGGCGTCTCCTCACGGATGTTCTCGACAAGATCGTCGTCCGAGGCGGTCGAAATTTCATACTCGTCGCCAGAATCTGGGGCTGATGAAGTGTCGTAGTGCATACTCAGATCCATAGCTACATAGCATAGCCATTTCAAGGGCTTGAGGATGTACTTGACTACACGCTTAGCATTGGGGAAGTTGAGATCAATGTCTGAGATCGCTGTAGTGAGAATAGTGATAAAGTTTTTCTCATACATGATCTTAGCCATTTGTTTGAGATTTGGCGTCAGATCTGCATTCTGGGTAAGCATCTCGCCATTCGGACGCTGTGACACCATCCTAGAAAATATGTCGGCAATGCTGAGCAGCCTCGAGTACTTCATGTCCAACGGCTCATCAGAGGCGTTCGCGTCTTTGAAAGCCTTCAAAGCATGCTCAAGCACAAATTTGCGTACAAAGAGTAGGTCAGGTTCAGTCTCTGCGTATGGGGACAATGGCACGTCAGTCTTGGGTAGAGTGTGCTCTCCTGTCTTGTTGCACAATGAGACAATGACGTCGATCGCGCAATTAGATGTCGCCAGTTTCTTCTTGAAGGAGAGATCACCCTCATGATTCAGAGTACCGATTGGAACCAGATTGTTGAGAAGGTAGTTGAGCACACCAGAGCGCGGCTTCGAAGGCGTCACAGTGTAAGGATCAGCCTTTCTAGAGAAATTGATGAACTCAATCTTCGTACGGTTGTAACTCTGGAGAAGCTCGGCCAGACACTTCAAGATGAAACAGCGATAAATGTAGATTGGGTGCGAGTCAGCTTTGAACACAGGTTTCTCGGTTTTAGCAGGCTCCGTGGATGCTGTAGCAGATGTAGCTACTGCATCTAAGCTCGATTCGGTTGTGCCCTGCTCTCCAGATGCAGTCTCTGTAGGCTTAGGAGGCTCGGGCTTGTCTTCAGCCTCTTTGTAGGCCAATAGCTCACACAGAAGATAGTGTATGACGCCATCGGGGTTCTCAACAACCGGTACCTTCAAGTCTAAGGTCTTTGTGCGCTCGAGGAATGGCTGCTTGGGTGCCTCACTAGACTCCTTGGGTTTGTCTGCCTCAGCAACGACATCAGATGTTTCTGCAGTATTTGCTGGCTCGGTTGAAGTTGTTTCGACCTTCTTCAAAACAAGGGTCTGTGGTCGCTGATTCGGATCGAAGCGGGCTAATTGGAGTTTCTCGTTTGTGACTTCAACAAAGATTTCGGGTGCGCGAATGGCCAGTGCATACATTTGGCGCGTATATCCAGTCGTGTCCGTCTGCCTACGATCACGCGACTCGAACATTTGCTGAATCTCAGTACGCATGATTTGACGAATCATCTCGTCGTCCTCAATCATGTGGCGCAAGACAATCATGAAAGCGCTACGCAGGCCCTCGTTAGAGATACCCGCCAGCTGCTTGACCATGAGGAATAGTCGTTGGACGTTTCGCTTCTCCGCGAGACGTGTGGCAATCTTGCGTGTGCGTGTGAGCATAGCCAATACTCGCGTGACTGATAGAGCCAATGATTCATCTTTGCCGATTCGAGGCAGCATCTCGATTATGGCGCTGAACAGTTGGTCCTTCTCTTCAACTGTCACGATTGGCTCTGGTAGCTCATCGACAGCTGTTGACTCCTGGGTTTCCTCTGTGGGCGGAGTCCATGTAATCTGACGTGGAAGTTGGTCCTCGGCTAGTAATCGCTCGATGATGAGCAAAACTTGTCCAATCCAAGGCGATGAGTCTTCTGCGGGCTGATCAGGGAAGATCTTGAGGAAGCCTAACAATGTTGTAAAGTTGTCTTTGAGCTCTCCGACAACAACATCGTAGAAGTCTTTCTCTTGGAGGACTAGAGCCAGTAGATGAGCTGAAGCTGCGATCTTCTTGCTCTGTGTACGGAAGTCATCTTCGCTCTGTAGTGATATAAGAGACTGAACCAACGTAGTACCGATCTCCGTCCGCATTGATTCTGGCTCAGGCGCTTTGAGAACGGCAGCAGAGATGAGGTCTGCAAGCTCGAATGTGACATCATCATGTGAGTTGAGTACATCAAGAGATCGGTCAACGAGATTCTGGCGAAGTTTGGATCTCTGCTCGTCGAGCTGGTCTAGGGCCACAAGTTCTGTCGAATTTCCAATGGCCATGCGCTTCTGATATGCCAATGCGTCTTGTGGCGCAGTAGTGGGTTGGCTGGGCTGTTCAGCAGATACAGGTGTAGCAGATATAGGGGCTTCAGATTCTGTGGCGACCGGAGCATCCGCATCTTCCATTTGAACCGACTGGGTCTCTGGCTCTTCGGGCTCGTCTTCGTCGCGGGTGATCTCGCTCGATGTCATGCTAGCGTCATCAGTATGTTCTGGCACCACGACTTCAGCCCGGCTAGGAGATGAAGATGGTGGGCCTCGTGCTTGGATCTCATACTGCGGTATCGGGTTTCTCGAGACGTTGAGACGACCTTGATTCCGGCAATATTCGTTAGCCATGTTATAGTTGTCACAGCAGCGATATAGCGCTTCTTCAGCAAGGCTTTCCTCATAGCCATTCTCTTTCAAACGCAGCAAGTGTTCTCCATTTCGGGCAGACCATGGTTTGATGATGGGCTTACTGCGCTTTGGGATCTTGTCGATGCTCTTGTAAGCTCCGTGCTCGCCATCGCATTCAAGAACAGACTTGAGGATGTTGACCGATGTCTTTACAATGGAACTCGTGGCCTTGTCGATGAGATTCGAGTTCCAAATCTTCTCCACAGGCTTGATCACGGCAAAACGCAACTCAACGAGGAACTGTGCAGTCAGGAAGTAATCTGATCGCTCCCTATCGCGATCTGGTCTGGTTTGCATCGATGAGGTCTGCGGTGATTCTCCAATGACCTTGTAGTTGATGATTTGAGAGAAAAAGGCAAGAATGATCTTGATACCACCAAGCGAAAGATTGAGCAAACGCTTCATCTCCTCACTAGTTTCTTCGCTCTGCTTTTGCGTAATTCCAAGTGCTGATTCGTAAAACTGATTGAGAATGTTGGCCAGAACATCGAATCCACCAAGATTGCGGAACGACACGAGCAGCAAAGTCAACGCTTGCGGTCGGTCTAGGTTCGGCTCGATGATGAGTTGTGATAGTGATGTGAGTATGACAATCCAGTATGCGTAGCGATCTTCAATGTTGTCTGATTCCTTTGGGCCCTCGTACTCAAGCTGATCGATGACTGCTTGAGCAAGTTGGTCTGCAACGACTGTGGCACATTGCCTCTGGTATGCCTCCAGACTGCGGCGGAATAAGAGAAGTTTGCCTAGCGATTGGAAGAAAGGCGCAATTTCTGTGGGTATCTTGCTAAGTAAGTTTCGAAGAGTTTGCGTATTCTTGAATCGTGCACTGTTGTGGCTCAAAGTGGGATTCTCGGCAGTAGCTCCAGCAGCGGCAGAGGCAGTCTCTGCATTACCAGGCGATTCGGTTGCGCTGTTACCAATGCGGAAAACATGATCAGCCTCATCGTTACCAAAGCCAGAGCTAGCGACACGGGTTTCTTTCTCCCACTCGGTAGGCATATTGCGTTGAAGGAGAAGCTCTTCCCAAACACAGCTACGATGGAGCTTTCCAAGACTATCAACTAAGCGTGCGTACATATCTGCAAGGTTGACCTGACTTGACACATTGTGGGCCGAACGCGTACTGTACATCTGGCTCTGGAAGGTCAGAGTCATGGCGCCGACAAGGGTATGCGCCGACACCAGTGCTTTGACGTATTGTGTGCCTCGTTGCAGGTGCTCATTATCCTGGGAATTGCTTGAACTTGTGAATGGCGCAAAGAATGCCTGCTTGCCGGTGTGATCAAGAAGAGGCTGTAAGCGTTCCAGGGCCTGTTGTGTGCGCCTGATCAGGGAGGGAACGGCGATGTGTGGCTTCTGTTCGACGAGAACCTGTACAACGTGGCCAAACTGCTCACACATACTGCGGTTTTCACTCGACTTCGGGTCCAGACAAGCAAGATTAGAGATGTCAAGAATGGAATCGACGCCGTCAAGTTCGATATAAGCAGCGCACATGGCATGATTCGAGAAGAAGCCAGACAGAAACCTGCAGAGCACGCGAATGTACTGGCCTGTTGTGGGACCTTTGGAGCTATCCTCGGTCTCTGTAACCTGATCAAAGGCAACCACTTCATTAGGCGTTTCGTCGGCATCTTTCATCTCGACATCGGTACCAGTCGACCCAGAGGTTCGCTGCGGTCCTGGGCCAGACAGAGCTTGGCGGCCGCCGGCTACAAGAAGCTTCCCGTTGGCGTCTTCGGTCCATAGTTTAGCCCCTGCGCCCTCTTTCTCAGCTTTGCTGGCGCACAGTTGGACAACACGAGCAATCAACTCGCTGAGGCACGAAAGGACTCGACCCTTTAATGGCGGATGATGACGCACGAGCTCATCGAAAGAGTTACCAATCATAGTAGGCATCTCTGCATCAGCATCGAGTGCCTTGACGTGGGCAGGACTTTCAAAGATCTCGAAGAAGCGCTCAAGCGCAGTCGAAGATTGAAAGAGCTTCATACCAGCTTCCGCCAGGCAAATAGCGTCAAAGGCTTGTGGAAGAGTCGATATGGCTTCAGCAACAGGCAAGATGCCCTTTGCAAGTGGCTTTTCGGCTTCGTGCGGAGGATAAGATGTCGGAGTTGTAGCATTTTCATTGGCATTTGCCGCAGCTGTTGATTCCGAAGCGGGCTCTCCAGCCACAGTCTCCAGAAACGCCTCACTGAGACCTGCTTCGGCTATGACCTGGTAACTGGTAGGCTCATTGTGAATGAAGTTAGCGAGAATGGTAACAGCCATGCTCCAAACCGTTGAGCCGAAAATCTTTGCATTCGACAACACAGTGCGTAGGCTACTCAGCAGCTGCGGTGAGTCAATCAAATTCCGCATCAAGCGATCGAAGTTTCCGCCTGTGTGCGTCATCATGTGGTTAAGGAACTTGAACAACCAGCGCAGACTCTGTTGATGATAGAAGGGAATTTGATAATCAGTAAGCTGTGTCTTGTACTCCTTGGGCATACCCTTGTTTTCCTCAGCAAGCTTCTTGGAGATGTTGACTTCGTATTGCATGAGGTCAGCAATAATTTCCAGCCCCTTTGCAGCCACAAGAGCAGAGAAGGCATCGCGCAAATTGTACACAAACGTGTCAAGGAAGTTTAGAATCTTGGGGTGGTTACGCTCAGCTTTTGCTGTACGAAGCTTGAGAACATCGACGAGAATTTCCAAGAGCCCTGCGGCTACCATCTGCTCACCAGTGCGTGTTTGAGAGGTGGGTAGAGTATTCAAAAGAGAAAAGAGGGCATCGCGCCACGCATCCTCCTCCAGATCGTCGGGGTCACCAGTCTCCTCGCCAAGTCCTGCGACTAGCTTGCGAACGACATAGAACAGCACACCGTGGTTGACATTAACATTGAGGGCAGCGCATATGTCAGCAGCTTTCGACTTGTGTTTTGCAAGAGCCTCAAGAGCGTTCATGGTGAAGGTTTGAAGCTCAAGCGAGAGGCCGCCCTGGCCATTGCTCGGTGGGTGGACTAGTTCGGAGAGCTGGTGTGCCAGTTGTAGCCTGCGTGGCTCGTCTGCATCCTGCTGGCCCAACTTGGCCATGAATTCCTTCTCGATGTGCACGTAGCCTATGTTGGCAATGGACAAGAGGCGGATAGCGACTGCCTCATCACGTCCGGCAGCACCATTGTTGAACAACTTGGCAATTCGCAATTTGTGTAGAAATTCATAGTGCACACTTTCGGGCAGACTCTCAAGCCCTTCTTTGGTGAGGTCGTGTATATCGCCTTTGGCAACCTTGTCGACTGAGAACTCAAATGTCTTGGGCCCATTTGTTTTACCACTGGGCTGCCCTGGGGTGAAGACTGGGGTATTTGGCGATTCAGCAGGAGCTGCAGGCTGAGGCTGTCGCGGAGTCCGGTTCGGGCCCATACTTGACGTTCTTCGTACTGGTGTTGGCGTGGTGGGGGCAGATGCAGGCGTCTCAGTGGTGGCCGGCTTACTGCTGCCTTCTTCGGTCGCGGGAGCCGGCTCATAGTACGAGATGAGCACACCACCAAATTCTTGCTTCATCGCCGCATCCGACAAAGAGTACATGCCAACCAGGTCGGACGGGCTAACCCTATCAGCGCCGCCCGTGCGGTCTTTCCCTCTGCCCGTCGGCGTACCAAACACGGGGGCTGGCGCAGTGGGACCCTTTGCGAAGGGACTTGATAGCTTCTGAACTTTGTCCAAGTTGATATTGTAGTGGCTGGAGAGGGCAGACGGGTGCAGCGTGGCAGGTGCGTGGCGCATACGGGCGGCGGCATAGCGTTGGGCCAGGCGATGGCCGAGGCGAAGCGTCGCCTTGAGGAGAGAGGTGCTTGTCGTGTTGAGCAGCTTGTCGAGACGCTCGCTACTCGAATACAGGCTGCGATTGCCGCAGTTTTCCAGCAGCATGCGGGTGAAATTGAGGATGTGCTCGATCAGCTCACGGTCGCCATCCTGCGAGAGGTGCAGGGTATCGAGAACAGCTTCCGTGGTAGTCTGGTCGGAGGCAGTGCTGCCTTGGTCAGCGTCGCCCTTGAGCAGGAGCCGGCGCTGGAACGGCTGTGTCTGGGGGCCATCAACAAGGCCATATTCCTTGTTAAAGAGGTCGAGGATGTGGTCGAAGCGATCCAGTGCGGGGATCCAGTGGTATGCATCGCCGCGGGGGAAGGGCCAATGCTTGGGGAACGAGGCCAGGTGCGCAGGCAACTGGTAGAGCGGTATTGACTCGGTCGCCTTGACGAAATCCGCGATCATGGACGACAGAGTCGACTCATGTCGCGAGGTGGCCTGTTTCTTGATCTTCATGTTTGCGCCGGGCGCTCGGAAGACGAAACCTCCTCACATGCAAGCTTGCGGCAGGCAGTGTCTAGCAGGTGGGTGGTGGCGAGTGGAGAGGGCGCGACAGGTAGTCCGACTGGATATGCGTGGCGGTGGAAAGGATGCCTGTCGGGAAATCAGTCAATCCGTCCGCCTGTCCGCCTGTCGTGCGGCGGGCTGCGAGTGCCCTTGTTGAGCGGGTGCGCAGAAAGGCAGAGTAGCTGCGACGTGTGAGAAGCGAGAAGCGGGGTCGTGATTCGTGATGTCGTCGGTCGCCTTGAGCAGCCAAGGGCGTGCGGACAGGTCAGGGCAGCGGGTGGGCGGCTTTGGTAGGAAAAGAGGCGTGGGCGGGCAGGCCTGCTGCTGGATACCACGGTGCAGGCGTGGATCTAGTGCAGCGGGAGCAGAAGTCTCTTGGCGGAGGGGATGCGCAAAGACTGCTGGTCAGGCGCCTGTATGCTGGTGGACAGCGTGGGTGAGAGAGGTGGGTAGAGACGGGGAGATGGTGAAGTGCTTCTTGAAGCTTTAGCTACTGGCGGCCGCCAGCAAAGTAATAGTGCCATAGCAGTTTCCGCTCCCTTGTAGCCCGCCCGAGCCCCCCACTGATCCGAGCGTGGAGCATCCCACAACAACTCCCTGCCCTCCGTGACTATCTAGAGAGACGGTCCTGTTCGTCCGGACCTATAGACGCCCATGGAATATACTTGAAAGGTACTTGCGTTGCCAGTGTCTATCGCTCACGACTACGCCTCCAAAGCGACCACGGCTTCACACTACAATCAAAGAACCCCACATCATCACCCCAACCTGGCCATGACGACATCCGTACATAACACAGAGCTACTATTGCACCATCCATGACTTCATAGCCAAAAAAAACGACAACATTTATGTATCTCAGTAGAAGTCATAGCCAGTAGGTTCATGAAAACACCGCCTACCCAACTGCAACATCTCCCATCTCCCGTCAGGGTGCCCATACATGATACGTGAGTACCACCATCCCGTACTTACCACCTGCGCGTCCCGCTCGCAGACTCCTCCCTCCCACCGTCTCCTTCTCCATCAACTAGCCTCATCGTCTCTTCCAGTACCAGTAAGTCTCGCTCAATCATCTCTGCCCAGTTCTGTATATCTCCCACCTCGTTCAGTTTCTTGGTGCCTCCCTGCAACAGCTTGTCCCACTCGGCCCGCTGTTTGGCCAGCACCGCTGTCTGCTTTGCCAGTTCCTTCTCCTGCTTAGTTATTGCTACCGAGTTGGTATTCAGATCCGCTGTCCGCGTGCGCATCTCATTGTCGACAGACGCGCCTACAGACGCCAAAGATGCTGTGACGGCGGCGCGCGCTTCCGCCTGGCGGCGAGCTGCTTCCTCTGACGATGCGCTTGGGGAAGACATATTGACAGTTTGCGGGGCAGTCCTCGAGACGGACCGCTGGGTGCTGCTCATATTTGAAGCGATAAATGGACGGTATAGGCTGCTGCTAGCTTAGTGGAAAGTAGTGTACAGTGCCGCTTGATGTGGGTGGCCGGGCAACAAGCGCAATCCGTGGTACACATGTCGACTGGAAACTCGCTACTCTTTGTCCGCCATATGAACCCCAACATATCTGCAGAGCTAGTAGACACGTGCGACAAGCCTCATACCCTGACACTATCACCCAGCCATTAGGGCGCTATCAGATGCGGGGTAGTGATTAGCCATTGGCAATGTTAACGTATGGCAAGACTATGAGTCTGTGGTACAGCGCCATTGGTGCTGATCACATGTGCTCCAGGCTTCGTCCATCGTACAATAGGACTCGATGGGGAGTCGTGGTGGCTGCAAGTACACTATGAAGGTAAAGGTGGAGAGGGGTCAAGAGCAGGGGTCGGGAAACACCAAGGGCTTATCGATTACTAGGGTACAACCATCATGGTCAGTAGACCAATCAGCAAGTTTCATCTCACACAGGACTTCAACTTAAGTATTTTCAGACGTAAAACGATGAATTCGTAAGTTATGAAGAGGCTAACGGCAGAAAAAGAGAAAAGAAATAGTATGTTCATCAAATGACAGTGTGACCCAGTCACAGCAGAGTCTCCGACCCATGCAGTCAATCAGCAACAGCAAACCTAGGCCACAATCGCCTTGGCAACACGCTTGACAGTGTCGGCCACAACCGCTGCGGCATTCTCAGCCTCGCGCTTCGCATTCCTCGCCTTGATCTTGGCCTGAGCACCCTTGATCTGTTGCACCAAGAACTCTACGCCCTCATCGGCCCGGAGACCGTACGTCAAGTGTGCAGGCAACACGGCCAGGGTACCAACGCAAACAGCATCACCAGGCTGACAGATGATCTTGACCTTGTCCTTTGGGAAGCCGGGAATTTGGTTGCGGTCCTGGAGCTTTTGTGTGTCGCCGTAGAGCACCACGCCAGCAATCTGGTCCTTGACGCCCGCATCAAGCTCTTCGATAGCGCGGTGGTTGACCGCTGCGCCCTGGCTGTAGCCCGAAGACACAATGACGGAATCCGGGCATTTTGAAGCCATGGAGGTGAGCGTCGACTTGAGGAGCTCCTTGGATCGGCTATCAGTGCCACCGGGAAGTGCGTTGGTGCCGAGCGCAGCAGCATAAGGGATGCCCTCAGTAGCAACGCTGTCTTTTCCAAATGTCTTCTTCAGACCATCCGAGGTAGGTGGTCCGACAACAGTTCCCTGATTGTGTTAGTAGTGCTAAATTGCTATTTTCATGGGCTTACAAACCATGTTGCCAATTTCCGTTGAGCCACGGGTAAAAGCAAAGAGAACGGGTTTGCAACCGCCTTGACTGAACTCGCTCGCACTGCTGCCAGTACCTCCAAACAGTTGGCGACTTTCAATAGGACCGGCTGCCGCAATGCCAGCAAGGGCAGCAATGAGAATGGATTTGGAGTACATTTTCTCGATCGAAAAAAAGTTGGCTAGGGTTGAAAGTTGGTTCTTTGAAGTAAAGATGAAAGCGAAAGACTGAAGAAATCAAGAAATCAAGCGAAAGGATGTGAATGTGAGCACCAGCTCTGTTGTAATGATTGAACTGTTGATGATGGTCAACGGAAGCTGGCATCCAACCTTCTTATATCTTCAAAGCCCTCGGAGGTGATGCCTAGTTCAATCAACCCATGACGATCTTGCGGGACGCAAAGGACATCAGTGCCCTTGACCATGTCAACACGACATGTTCTTCGTCGTAAAGCACACAGGAAAGTGACATTCAAGGCACCTGCCGAGCAATCTATCCAACGGCACGATGGACTATTGGCTAACCCTGCATGAATTTGGTCTTGGGGAGAAAGCCATGACCATGTAAAAGCCGACCAGGAGCTTGCCAAGTGCACGGTAGTGATGGAGAGCCTGAATAAGAATAGAAGTCGGGAATACGCGAGTCCTGGGCTGTCGATCCCAGCCCTACGCCCCAAGGCTGGTAGCCAGTCACAGAAGTGCAAATACCCGACTACCGAGTACTCAGACCAACGATCATGCGGCTGGGTCATGCTTTTGTCAAACACCCCCGTAGAACTTGTAACAGGGCCACTGACTTGCTTGACAACAGACATGGTATGTTCTCAGAAAAATTGACATGCCTCGGCACCTTGAAGACTCTACCGTTCGTCATTGGCTGCAGATGCGTTTGTCAACGGGCTGCCAGTGTAAGAATTTGACAAGACAGGTGGATGTCTGTCTCGGAATGCCCCGAATGACCTCACAAATCCAATGCAAATGTCTCTGTCTGAGGTATCCATCAGGCAGTCTATGACCATGGGATTTTACACAAAAACCAATCTTTTCAAAGAGTTGGACAAGTTGTGCAGCATAACCAACAAGTACAAACAAGCTTTTGCATATGAGTATCGTTTGTATAAAGATGATCGACGTGCTCCCGGGAGCGTCCCGCCAATATGCCGTCCATTATACGGCTAGCGCACAGGGGGGCCACGGGCGCCTTTAGTCGTTTCAGGCCCAGAGCCTGACGCAAGAAGCAACCGACTAGCACCATACCGAAACACTGGCAACGCATACTTTACAGGTTCATCGATGCAGAGTAGATGCAGATAGATGGACTTGGGGGTGAGCTGATCACTGGCAAGTGCTGCTATTAACGGAGTCTAGATCACATGACCGGTGAAACCCTCTCGAAAGCGTGATATTAGTCGCGTTGAAACGGTGCTTTGGGACCGAACCGAATCAATCCTATTGCGACCAGTCGAGTTGAACTTTAGTAGCATTCTGTTCAGGGCCAAACCACGACATGGACTTGTGTCAATTGGGACAATCCATCGGCATCGATCGACCCAATACGAATCGCAGCCCACACAAACCCGATTTGGAATTCCAAAGCAACCCGCTTCGATCGCAGACATACGAAAAAGGAGACCCGAAGACTCATGTGGTAACAAGCCCACGACTCGCCTTGCAGCCAATATTCCACCATGCCGACTCCGATATTCGTTTCGAAACATGAGGCATCTTCAGGGCCCAGCACCCGCATGCGCATCTCCCAATTCGGAATAAAAAATGTCACACGCGTTTCAATCATGCCGGCTGTTGATCCGTAAACGGGTATCTGCCGTTGCAGGGCAGCCTCAAAATGGGGGTGTCATGTGTCCATCACGCGAGTCAAGTTCTCGTTGCACGACACACCACGATGCGAACAAGGGGCTTTGCTTCTCGACCTTTTTTTTCCTTCCATCCTAAGGCTGCGCCATGAACGTGTGTGGGGGAAAACATTGGTCACATAAGTACTGTATGCATGGAGTATCCCCCTCCTTTCCCCTTTCGCATCTGGAAACCTCGGCCGGAGTTGTGTGGGGACAGGTGGGTAGAGCAATGCCTTCTGGTTGAAGATGGGAGGCTAGGTATAAAGGGTTCCCGAGGCGCTGTTTGAGATGCCGTCCAGATCCCGGTTCTGACTTGGCAGTACAATGCCTTCCTTACCAAGACTCCGGTATTGATAGTACGTGTGGATGCTGGCTGACTGATTGATAAAAGAACCGGTGGGTTCCCGACGGGGAAGCAAACGCCGCCATCAGAGGGTGGTTCACCACCCATGTCCCGATGACGGGGCATCTTGTAAGGCCGAGCACAAGACCGCTGTGATATTGCATGCATGTATCTCTATATCTGTAGGATTCAAAAAATATTGATCTTGCGTAGCCTGTTCAATACTACAATTTTTCCCAAAGACATTTGCTACCGCCCGTATATTTTGAATTCGAAACAATACAACTGTAGTACTACCTTTTATTATTACATACCCTTTTTTTTCTCCAGAAAGTATGAACGACCCAATCGCCGACGCAAAAGCCCAAGAGGCAACACACAACTATGAATTCCGCATCGCAACACGCGACGACATTCCCGCGCTCCAACAAATGATAGGCGATTCCCTTCGCGCCCTAGGCAAAGGATACTACACGCAAGCCGAGCTCGACGGCTCAATAGGCTACCTCTTCGGCCCCGATTCAGTCTTAATCCACGATCAGTAAGTAAGGCGTTCCACTCCGTTGGTCGCATTGCCCGCATTTGCACAACACGCATACACGCCCTACAATCTACATCCATACACATAAACAATACTACAACAAAAAACAAACAGGACTTACCCCTCTTTTTCTTTTTTTGTAGCAAGCAAAGGTAAAAAAAGCAAAAACTGACGTAAAATAGAACATACTACATCCTCCACCCCGTCTCCCAGCCACACACTATCTGCGCCTGCGGTGGCTGGTCCTTCCGCAAAACACTGTACGGCGGCGACTCTGCGCCCTCTGTGCTGCGCATGCCCGCGAAGCGCGACCCATCTGTCGACCGCGCCAGCATCCGCGCCATCTTCACCGCGCCCGCCTATGCGCGCCGCGGCCTCGGCACAATGATGATGCGGCACTGCGAGCGCGCGGCGCAAGCAGGCAAACCGGGCGAGACGCCGGGTTTCTCGCGCTTGGAAATGGGGGCTACGCTAAGCGGCGTTGCGCTGTATGAGCGGTGCGGCTATGTAAGGAGTGGGCGTGAGGACGTGGTCACGTGTCCGAATGGGGAGGGGATTCGCATTTTGCACATGACCAAGGACTTGGAGGGTGATAATGCGCCGTGAAGGTGTGTGCCCCCCGGGATTGGGGAGGGGAGGGGGGGTTAGAGAGAATGCGGTTAACGGTCTGGTGGAGATGATGGGAGGAATACTTACTGTGTAGGGAAAAGGGTAATGCAGCGCGGTTAGGCGTGCGACCTTGCGACCTGCGACCGTTTTTTTTTTTGCTTGCCGGAGTGATCGAAGATAAGCGGGTTTTCGGTATTCTCGGGCGCGAACGCGCGCGTGCGCGCAAGCGGGGCCTTTGAACGGTTACTACTTGGACGTTTTCTTTTCCTTCTTTCAAGGAACTACTAGACTTTCGATCACTTCTGTTCCTTTCCTTCCTACCTTCCCTCTTCGCCTTTTCTTTGCCTCCTCTTGCTCTTTTTTTTTGCGAAATGACGCAGGGCCCTTTGATGCGCTGGCAAAAAGGGAATGTTTTGAGTGAGACTTGGGAGGGAGGGGGATAACGCAAAAGCGTTAGTGGGGATGATGGGGGCCTCGCGGTAAGGCACCCGATGAGGGAAGAAAAGGTGCAAACCGCATTGTTTGGTGGCGCGCCCGCCCGACGATGCCCGGAATCTTGATTAGAGATGGAACGTCGTGCTTGCGGAGGTTCCAATTGGCTCTGCTCCCTTTTCCCTCGTTGTTCAACTGAGGGCGAGCACCGAGAGATGGTAAGGATATATTTGTAGGGGGGGCCCTGCATGTTTTCGTCATGTTGTTTGGGACTTCACCGTCTTTTTCCTCTTCCTTTTCAGAGATACTTTAAAAGATACTCTTCTTGCTGCTTTCTCTGCTCTTCTGGAGATACCACTTCTTTTGTTTCTTTTGCTGTGTGTGGAAATCCAGTCGTTCAGAGTACGGGGCTCTACACGAGATTCATTCATCAATCATCACCAACATGTCTGACCCCAAAGCGGCCGCATTATCTACTGCTGTTGTCATCATCACCGTGCCCTCGGGCTAGGATATCAGCTATATGGAAGAGGTTCGGACAGTCATATGCGATGGCGAAGATGGCACCGTTTTGCAGGGCGTAGTCCCTCTGGAAGATGAAGGATCTTGAAGGAGTGAGGTGTAAGACTCCAGCCGCAGTAGCGCCGATGGATCACAACAAACAAATCCAGCACCCATCGGGCAGGCGTCTGTGGGTGTGAAGTACTGTCTCGTATTTTGTGTGCCACGGTATTTCCGGACAGTAGCTTTTAGTGCAAGCCACTACCAGTCTTGGGTGTGTGGGGAGCGGAGACTCGAATTGAACATCGACAATATCGGCCAAAGCGTAGTTTTCAGGCGTGATGAAAGGATAAGATCAAATATCGTTCCAGTTATATGGGGTTGTTGAAAGACATTGCAAAAGAAGGACGAAATATAGGGCTAGTGAAACTGAGTGAGGGGGATTGAGGAGGAATTTTGCTTATACGACAACGGCCATGTCACATTGATGGTTTCGAGGAAGAGCGGAAAAGACATTACATGGTCAATTGAAACGCAGAGAGGGTACCCCATTCATGCTAGGGGGTAATGTATTGGAAAACTCAAAGTACAAGAACGGACTAAGACCAAAGTCCTGGACTCAGCCAGTTTGAATAAAGGAATTCGCTGCCATCGCCATCAATAGCCTGCCCCGATTTCACAGTCCGGGTATTATCACAGAAGCAATTGAATAAAACAAAACGCCTTCTTGCTAATCCACGATTCCCTATTATCTCTTCGTCCAATCAGGAAGAGTGATATCAAACACCGTCATGATATCGCGCTGTGAAGTCCCACGAGCCGAGAAACTCAGGGAGATCAGACATCTCATCTGTGAGCTGTGTTGTGATGTAATGGGATATTCTTTCAGGGAGGAAAGAAGAATTATGGTACAATGCAAATGCCTAACGCAAGACGAGCGGGTACACCAAACTCGTTGGAATGTCTGGAGTCCAATGGGTATGGTGCAAAGAATTCGCTCTTGAAAGTCCTATGAAGGGGAAACGAAGCTAGACACAGGTCAGTTGACGACATTTGTCCTAACTAGTGTTCGAATCGGTGGGTAGGCACGAACCGAATCGAGACGTAATCAGAATTCTGATCGAGACGAAAGAGAGCCTGTGGACCGTGACTTTGGCAGTCAAGGGTATATGAATGCAGATCACAGCAGCAGATCAACGTCTTTGGAAGCTTCCAAAACTGATCAGGATTCCAAGAGGCCGTCAATCTCTTTCTCTAGCTCTTTACTCCAGAGGTACTCATAGTCGGGTTCAATGTCAGGGTCGACAGGGAGGTAGACATCCTCCATAGTTGGGATCTGGAAGACTTGATCCATGGGGTACTGCTCAATGGCAGGGAGTTGGCTCCATGTGAGACCTGGAGGACCAGGTTCGCGGGGCAACGGGAGGAAGCGGCCAACGCCTGTCTTAGCCCGATCGTCACCCTCCCACCTCATCTCAGAGAAGGAAGGCCAGGGCGCAACCTCTTCCTTTCCGTTCTGCCAATTCTTGCACCATATCGTATGTTCTCCAAGGACACGACCAGAGTTGCCAACTTCATCAAAGTTGCCGTTAAGGCCACAACGACGCAAAAAGGCCTGAGTTTCTGGGGGAATGGCTGAAGAATACTCTCCAGCTTCTTCCTTCGTCTTGGTTTGACGTGTGAGATTGTTGGCTTTTGACCTAGTCATTGCTTCGCAATGTGCAACATAGTCGTTGAACTTCCACTTGGCTACATCTGAGTTCTTGAACTGACGGCGCATCGAGTTGCGAACCGTGAGAAAGTCTTGGTGCATCTGAGCATCGGGACCCAGTGGTGGGTTGGGGTTGCGGAAACCTGTAGAACCACCTCTGCCGGCGTGCGCAGCGCCTTGTCGGTGATGGCCGTGAAAACCACGTCCAGGAGGACCGTACCTGTTAACGTTGGGATACCTTGGACCACGCTGGAAAGGTTGGCTGTGGCCCACTCCATGGCCTTGGCGGGAGCGAGGGTGTTCGTCTGTGATGCTCAGGTTCTTCAGGCTAAGGGTCTCTGGGCTTGCGGGATTACTGAGAGGATGATTGTGGCCCGTTCCGCTGCGTTGGTGGGAGTGGGGATATTCATCTGTAATACTCAGGCCCTCCAAGTCGAAACTCCTCGGGCTTCCAGAACCGCTGAAAGTTGCCTCATCATCTTGGTTGGAGTAGGTATCCCAAGCCTCGTCGTCATGAAGGGTGTCACCGCTTCCCGTGTACGGCGGTGATGTCACCTGGGGTTTGTTGATGTCGAACGGTAAATGCTTTTCGTTTTTGCCTGGTCTCTCGCCCTTTACAGGATTGACAGAGTCTGCCATTGGATAGGAGTCTATAAGCTTATACGTCGCTAGTGACACACTGCTCTCAAAGGAATTTTCCACTATCGTCAAACTTTGCGCAACTGTTGTTGAACAACGTGAGAATTGAGTGTTTTGGGAAAGAAGAGAAGTCGTAGGTCAATCTGTGTATCCAAATACCCTCACGAACTAATGACAGTGAACAATTTGGCGGTGAGGTAATGTCAGAATACAATTTAAGCACTGTGACTGTTCTCGTGGGTGGTTAGCTTTCATTCACTTACTTTACAGTGAAATCATAGCGAATGCTTCACCGTCTAGCAAGTTGTAGATAATGTGAGCATGCTGCGCAAACATGTGATGTATATTCTGACAGCAAACAAGACACTCCTCCCACGCTCAAACGCGCCAATGGGCGATGAAGTGAGTTGTCACCGCCTTCGGCCATTGGGGAAAGCCATAATGGGTTGCAATGTCATTCTTGTCACATACCTGAGAGTCCGGGCCTCACAAAAGTAGGGAAACTCCTAGATGTGGAAGAGGGTGAGTGGATGTTTGTGTTTTTGTGAGATTGATCGCTGCCTGATATCAATAACTGTTTTCACTGGGTTTGCCTAGCAAGAACTGTGGGTGGTGAGTCAAAGATACACCCTGTGTTTGTGTGGATTTGGATTATTATATTTCCAGCAGCAGCCTATAGCAGCGGTCACGAGACTAGAGTATGAATATGCCTGCTTGATGAGCGGTGTATTTAGCGGTGCGCCTATGGGCATTGAGAGCGATGCGGGTGATGAGAGCGGTGGTCTTACGACCAGCGCAGTTAGTAAGGAGATTGGGGTGGGTTATGGCTAGCGCAACTGAACGAGAGTCGATAAGGTCTTCTGGCGCATCCAAAAGACTCAAATTCCGAGGTTTGACGATGAGGTCTCGACGGCTGGCTGACGAGAGGCGTGGATGTGACTGAAGACGAGTATCACGTGGTAGGAAAAAGTGATGTCGTCGCTACAGAGCGCGCGGTCTGTAATAGCAGGCAACGAAGGCGATGGCCAGAGTGCTGCAGAGTAGACCAGAAAGACGCGAGTTAAAAAAAATTCGATCTGCGTTTATCTCCGCCCTCTCTCACTGCTCACCTTTCACTTTGCATGGCGAGTCGGGAGAAGGAAAAAAAGAAGGGCAACGACCAGCGCTATGGACTAGGGTGACCAGTAGAGTGAGACTGGTGAGTATAGACAGAAGATAGGGCGCGCTTGAACAATGAATATTGAGGAACAGGAGAAATAGGTGGTAGAGAAGCGAGAAGATGCATTTTACGTGTCATTGAGAGCGTGGATACGGCGAGTGTGTAGACAGACAGTGCAACTGCGACCGGGTGAATGCCTGAGCTTGAACAAGAAGCGACTTTGCATGATATTTCCTTGAATATGGCTACTTGATGGATCTAGTATGAGATATAAATGCCTTCTAAGGCACTTGGGTATGCCCAAGAGGGGCGAGAGAAGTAGAGTGGCTCTGGCAGATAGGAAGGAAGCCATCAGCCATGGAGACAGACAGGCAGGCTGGCAGAGAGATAGATATACGGTAGAAAGCGAACGAGAGTTGTTTTACGGTGGTAGACATGGTGCAGGCCAAGAGCGTATACAAGACACGAGAGATGAGGTTGGAAGCAGAGCGGCGCCATGTTTGAGGCTCTGTGGGTGCCAAGGCGTTGATTGGGCAGGAGCGATCGATGGCCGCGCACGGGGCCACGCCTTCCCCACGAGAGCGCTACGCCGCAGCCACGCATGAACAGGGGAGCGTGTGGATGCAAAGCCATGGTCGTGTATTTGCGGCCTTCGCTCGGGCAACGCAGGCGCCTGGTTCTCGAATTAATGCCAGGGGCTATTTCGAGCATCAGCGGAGCATCAGCTGTACACAGAATGTCAGTTCGAACAGGCCACGAGGAACAGGCCGGGGGTTGAAGCAGAAGGGTCGACATGGCCGATGATGGTATGACGTGTTGTGGGCTGCAAAGCGCAGAAAACAGGGCATAGCGGCGCCACAAGGCCAGGCCCTCGATGCGGTTGCCATGCGGCGACAGGACAAAATGGCGGCGACGCGCACCTCTGCCGTGCTTCGAGCACCTCCTCTGCCACCGACCGACACCCAGAGGCTGTGTTTCCCTTGCGCTCGACAACATCTTCATCGTGCTGCGCTGGCCGCCAACGCCAACAACCAGGGCGTGGGGTCTGCCCCTCGTCCCGGCCACCGTGCGCACGTCCGTGAGCGTAAGCCGTGGAGCAAACGACAACACCCCAACCGACAAGTCACGACAGCCACTCGAGCCCCAAACAGCTCACGCCGCCAGACGCTGCTGTTCTAGCGCCTTGTTTCGAGCCCTCGCCAGCCCGGCCAGCGGGCTCGCAGACGACTGGCCGGCAGTGGCTTGCTCCACTTCTGCGGGCGCCTATTCGGGCCACCGCCCTACCGACAAATGCTGCTTCTAACTTGAGCCTCAGCAGCCTGTATGCTCTGCCGAAACATTCTGGTCGTGCAGGCCTCTTCTCGCGGTGCCATTGGTACCCGGTCGGGGGCCTGCTGCTGGTCCTCGCTCACTCGCGGTACGTCTAGCCTGTTCATTCTCGTCACTGTCAAGTAGATATTCATTCGCTCCCTCTCTTTCTACCAAACCCACATTCACCCATTACCCATTCACCTTCTGTTTCCTTTATTGCATTGTACGGAGCGTTGGTTTTTTCTTTCTTCTTCTTCTATTGTTCTCTATTGTCTTACATTTCACTACTTCCGCCTAATTCCATTCTCTACCTCGCCACCCATCTGTGGTAGATATTCAAGATCTAGCTGGCCTACATCGACAACGGCGCTTTTGCCCATCTTGCTCTCCAACTCAACAGCCAAACGAGCCTCTTCCCGTTCTAATATCTCAACCAGACCTGCGTTTCGCAACCATACATGTTCGCTATGGCTTCCTCCGCGAACCAACAGCAACCCTTCCCACCTGTGCCTCCATCAATGTCCGCTGGCGATAGTCATGAGATGCGAGACTACTACCCACCGCAAGATGCACCACGACCTACAATAAACCAAACACCAAACTTCAAACCATACCTCGGCCTTCGAGCTAGGCTCTCCCAGATATGGATCAACCGCTGGACGATTCTCCTGCTCCTCATCCTTGTGCGACTACTCATCGCCATCGCAAGCACTGACTCAAGCCTTGTTTCCGCCCGTCGGGAAGCCCTTAGTGCTTGCACCCAAGTCGAGAAGATTGGCAGCTCCATGGCCTCGATGCCCCACTACATGTCTCCCGGTCTCAACGAAATGACAGCTTTCGGAGTTGAAAAGGCAGTCAGTGCCCTCATGACGATGCTCGAGATGACCGTCACTGGTGTCGAAGAGATTGTCCTCTTCGTCATCCACATGATGACAAACACCTATCTCTGCCTCATCACCCTTGCCATTAGCGGCAGCCTACACGCCGCTGTTGAAATTGGCGAGGCCGTCAATAAGAAAGTGAATGAGACCATCACTTCGGTCACCGAAGAAATGGGCGACACTGTCAAGTCCGTCTCAGACAGCATCAATTCCATGTTGCAAAAATTCAACATTAACACTCCGGGATTCATCCCACCGACAATCAACCTGGACGAGCAAATCCAAGAGCTAAAGAGCATTAAGCTGTCCCCCGGCATGACAGAGGGTCTCAAGAAGCTCAATCAGTCAATCCCTAATTTCGAAGAGGTGCAAAACTTTACCGACAACATTATCCGCACGCCTTTTGAGGAAGTCAAGAAGTTGATCAGGGGCATGAACACATTCGAGTTCGACCGGTCCGTTCTTCCAGTGCCACAGAAGGAGACACTTACCTTCTGTTCCGAGGGCAACTCAATCAATAACTTTTTTAACGACCTCATTGAATTGGCTTACAAAGCACGGAAGATCGCTCTTGGCGTGCTCATTGTTGCCGCTGTCCTTGTTTGCGCACCCATGGCTTGGATGGAAATGCGCCGCTACCGGAAGATGCAAGATCGTGCTACCCTCTTCGCAGAGGGTCACGAAGGCATGGACGTCGTCTATCTTGCGTCCCGCCCAACTTCTTCCGGCATTGGCCTATGGTTCGGCAGGCGCTTTGGCTCAGCTCGCCGACAAGCCGTCATGCGCTGGGCCTGGGCGTACGCCACCTCCGTCCCTATGCTGTTTCTGCTATCTCTGGGTCTCGCTGGCCTCTTTGCATGCTTCTGTCAATACCTTTTGCTCAAGGCCATCGAGGACAAAACCCCAGAACTCACGGACCAAGTCGCTGACTTTGCCGGAAAAGCTGTCGCCTCGCTCAACAATGCATCCATGGCATGGTCCAACAGTGTCAACAGCGCCGTTGGTGACTTGGATAGCAAACTCAACGACGACATCGTTTCCTGGGTCAACACCAGTACGACTGCAGTCAACGATACTCTGAATGCATTCGTCGACCAGATGAGCACCACGCTCAACGACACGTTCGGAGGCACTGTGCTTTACGACCCGATCAAGGAAGTACTTAACTGCTTGATTGGGCTGAAGATCGCCAGCTTCCAAAGCGGCCTCACTTGGGTTCAAGAGCATGCGCACGTCCAGTTCCCTGGCGTCGCTAACGACACCTTTTCTCTTGGTGCCCTTGCCGAAAAGGGCGACTCAGACTCGGCCTCCGAACTTCTTGCTGACCCCAGTGGCAAAGCAAAAGATGAGATCACTGAATCGGTTGAGCGCGTTATCGCCAAACTCATGAGCGGCATTCAAACTGAAGCGCTCATCTCCACCGCCCTAGTTCTAATCTGGCTTTTTATAGCCATCGGTGGCCTCGTTTACGCCTCAACCCATCTCTTCCGTCGCGACTATTCAGAAACAGGACGCAATCCATATGCCGTCAACCCTGCCATGGACCACGAGTCCAAGATTGCTGCCGATTACCCTACTACCGCGCCACCGCAATATGTGCCCAACGACTACAATGTCAACAAGGCAGCGCCCTATACGCTTGCACCCCGGCCTTTTTCAACGTTCGAACAAGAGAGTCGCGTTGAGCCTGCAACCGAAAAGGTTGGCCGTGTTGGTGCACATGCGGTGACTGAATCGGCGCGACCAGGACACTTGCGTACGAGTAGCCATGGACAGCTCGCTGATCCCTCGCCTGCTGATGACCGCACTGGTCCCTTCTCGAATCAATATGCGCCGTCGCCCTATCCACAGGAAAAGCAGCAGCAGAATCCTTTCATCTAAGATCCGTATTTGTCGAACAATAGTAACCCAGCCTTGAACCACCTGACCTTTCGGCTTGCCTTCTGAGTCAACCGGTCCAAGGCTGGATACACTACTAGACAATTATCGACCTGACCGACCTGCGATGAGCCGTAATTGCTCAGACCGAAACTTGCGATTGAAGTTTTCTTCCCCCTTCTCGGTGACGATGCGGAAACGCTCTCCAGAGAAGGGGTTTGGGCACATGCATTTGCGTTGATGAAGCTTGCTTCTCCGCTCGCATGTGTCGGTGTTTTTGATTTCACATTTTGGTTATTTTTCTTTCAACATACCCAGCCAATATGTATTTCTTTGTGTTTATTTGTCTTGTGTCACTGCTCTCTCTTGCGGGCTGCGCGTTGGATCGATATCCCCTCATCGCGAAGTTTGACAGTGAAGCTCTGCAGACAACTATCCCTACGTCAAACCTACGTGCAGTCTCCTTGTCTCCTGAGACTGCATGTGCGTTGTCTGCAGATTTCTTTCCATCAAATGATGAGGTTTGTGCATATCTCCTTGAGTATGTCTGTTCCCGAGGTCCCTTACGCCCGATTCTCTGTTCAGCCCTCCTACTTTCTATTTCCCTTGGCCAACATTGCTACGCCTCGACGCTGCATCACCGCCGCAGCGCGCCTTGCCGTGGCTTGCCCGCTTGTCGCGCTGCACAGGTGACCTCTTAGCGTACATAGTGTTGTCGTCCAAGGACGCAATAGAGTAGCGATGTGTGCTGAATATGATCCGGCAATATGTTGGACATGACTCGCTCATTCGCCACACCTCTCTCTCTCCCATTCAACCCACCGGCCCACTTCTGGAATTGTATGCTTTGCACCCGTTGCTTGCGGCTGTTGCTGGGGGGAGAAAGGGAGAGGTTGATGTGCTGATTGGTAACAAGTGTTGTGCTTTCCTCCCATTTTCCTTACTTCCAATGTTTTTCGAGAGGACCGCGCTGGGAGATTGGGGAAATGTGTTGACGTTGAAAGTCGACATTTTTGTGTTTGTGTACGGGTGGAAGCATCCTCGTCCCTCTGGATGAAGGGTTGGTTTTTGCGTTCTTTTGAACGCCGCCTGAGTTGATCCTGTGAGGCGCTTGCGCCCGGGACTTGTTTATGCATGCGTTTTAGGGATGGTGGTGGCGGCGAATGGCCCTTGGATGTGCCCACTCGAGTGGCGTGTCAGCGGGTGTGAAAATGGGGGAGATGATATAGAATGGCAAATGCTCTCCCTCATCGTGTACTCCAGAGTTTCTGATTGAAGTCACTTTTCACATAAACACACTCGCTCATGCAGCAACACCCACTCTCATTCTGTTCGCCGCTCTACTGTGCCCATTAATCGGGCAGAGCACCTTAGTTAGATTAGGTAGAATACCAATACAAGTATCTGGTCTCAAAACTACCCTTCCCTGTTTTACTTCTAGATGCTATTCAATCAGCTGCTGGAGCAGTACCCGGTGTGTGGTATGCTCGAGTGATGTGGCTGCACGTGGCTGGACCCTGGCCAAAGCTCCGTGGCCATGACGATGGACCGCCCAGCTCAGACGCACGCCGGCACTGCCCATGAAGCTCTCGGTGCGCGCAACAGCAGTCGCATAGCAGCGACAACATCCGGGCCCAATGAATCAGCCCTTGGAGTAATAGCCACCATGCTCTCTGCGTTCACTGCCCGGCCTATTGTCGAGCTTAAACAGCGCGACAAGTCCAAGATCGAGTCGATCCTCGCATATGGTAGAGCGTGCCTCTATAGAGTATTTGGTCCACTTGGCTAACAATACAAGGCGATCGCGTGCTTGTGGGACTCAACACGGGTTCCTTGCGCATATACCGTGTGAACGACCAGATCGAAGACGTCGAAGCCGAGCGCCAGCAAAATGGCTACCAGAACGGTCAACCGCAGCAGCCCCCGACGCCCAAGCCCAAGCCCGCAGACCTTCTCCGCGAGGAAGAGAAGTTCTCGCGCCGGCCCATACAGCAGCTAGCCATCATCAAGGAAGCCAACATTCTCATCTCGCTGTCGGACAACTATGTCTCGATCCACGACATCCAAACGTATGCGCTGCAGGAGAGGCTGGAGAAGACAAGAGGCGCCACTACATTTGCCGCGGCTAGCAACATTGTCAAGGATCCATCGACTGGGATCCCGTCAATTGTGAGCCATCTGGCTGTTGCGGTGAAGCGAAAGATTATACTATGGACATGGCAGGACATGGAGTTGACAGGTGACGCTGTGGAGATATCACTGATTGCGTCGGTCAAGAGCTTGACGTGGGCTACGGGCACCAAAATTGTCGCTGGCATGGACCCTGGCTTCGTCATGGTCGATATTGAAACACAGGAGGTACAAGACATCATCAAGCCAGGTGCACTCGCAGAGAATGGAAGTCAGGGCGGGGCGCGCTTTGGTGCAGTGTCATCTTCGGGCATGGGATACATGGGCATGGGCAGCTGGGTACCGAAGCCTCTGGCAACACGGCTTGGAGAGGGCGAGATGTTGTTGGCCAAGGATGTCAACAGCTTGTTTATTGATACGGATGGCAACGCCCTTGACAAGCGGCAGGTGCCCTGGCAAACTGCTCCTGAGACCATCGCCTACTCGTACCCATACATGCTTACGCTACAGCCGCCTTCAAAAGGAAGTTTGGAAATCAGGAATCCGGATACACTTAACCTGCTACAGCTCATCCCGCTGCCCAACGCCAACTTCCTCCATGTACCCCAACCCAACATTAGTCTGGCCCATGCGGGTAAAGGTTTCTTAGTCGCCAGTGATCGATGCATATGGCGAATGGGAGCACAGAGCTATGAGACGCAGATTGATGAACTTGTCGCTAATGGACGCTATGACGAGGCGTTAAGTCTTCTCAATATGCTCGAAGACACTCTGCTTCTGGACAAAGAAGAAAGAATACGGGAGATTCAGATACTAAAGGCACAAGCATTGTTTGATCTAAAAAAGTATCGCGAGGCAATGGAGCTCTTCATTGACGCAAAAGCACCACCCGAGCGCGTCATTGCCCTGTATCCAAGATCGATAGCTGGAAACTTGGCGCCGGAGGAGAGCGTCAAGGGCGATGGAAGCGTTACAGAGGAGGAGGAAACAAACGGGGAGAAGCCTACAGAGGAATCTGAAGAAACAACGACTCCTGCTGCTGCAACGATTGGGCGATCGATGATGGGCCGGTTTGGTGTTGGTGGACACAAGAAGGTCGACTCGGACACTGCCTCTATCCGGGCTGGCGCTGTCAAAGACGAGGCGGCGGCAGAAAAGGGTAGTATCAAGAAGAGGACAACGGATCCAGCCCAGCCCGACAAAGCAGTGTCGGAAAAGGAGTTCAAAGACTCTGTGCGTGCGTTGCAGTCGTTCCTTACACAATGTCGTGTGCAGATTAAACGCTACATTGACACAGAGGGGAACTTGAAAGAGCCCTTGCCCACACCTAGCGGCAGCCAGTTGGAGGCTGAGAAGCCACCTTTTCACATTTTCATCGAAGAGACTTCACTGCAGGGTCCGGTAGACTGGAAGGCCAAGCTGCTCGAAGTGGCGCAGCTGGTGGACACAACCCTGTTCCGGGCGTACATGATTGCGAATCCCAGTGTAGCAGGCTCGCTGTTCCGCCTCCCCAACTTTTGTGAGCCAGACGTTGTTCAGGAAAAACTGTACGAGACTGGCCGGTACGCGGATCTGATTGACTTTTTGCACGGCAAAAAGCTTCATCGACAGGCACTAGAATTGCTGGAGAAGTTTGGCAAGAACGAGGCGGACGAGGAGGTTTCGTCTGCGCTGCAGGGGCCACAGCGTACGGTGGGCTACCTACAGGCGTTGCCTCCGGAGCTGATTGATCTCATTCTCGAGTATGCTGAATGGCCGCTGCAGGTGAATCCAGAGCTCGGAATGGAAGTGTTCCTTGCGGACACGGAAAACGCGGAGACGCTGCCGAGAGACCGGGTTCTCGATTTCTTGCAAAAGATTGATCTCAAGCTGGCGGTTAGGTACCTAGAGCACATTATCGAGGAACTCAACGACCTTAATGTCGACTTTCACCAGCGACTGGTTGATTTGCTGCTGGAAAGGCTCAAGAGCGGGGATTTTGCTAACGAGGAGGAGAAGGAGGATTGGAAGGAGAGATTGCAGACGTTTTTGAAGAAGGGCAATGCACAGTACAATCGGTATCGTGTGTTTCAGCAACTTCCGGCTAACGGTATGTATTGTTACTTGGGGATTGATTTGGATTGCAGACACTGACAGGGACTATCAGATGCGGATTACTATGAAGCACGTGCCATTGTGTTGAGCAAGATGGGATCGCACAAGCAAGCACTGGCAATCTATGTGTTCCAGCTGAAGGACTACAAGAAAGCCGAGGAGTAAGTCTAGATATGGAACTTGTGACGGCTACACAAAGCTAACATGTTGTAGATACTGCAACCAAGTCTACACAGCACCACCATCGTCTCTCCCACCCAACCGCTCACCGCAGATCGGATCACCACAGATTGGATCAAACATTCAAGGGACAATTGAAGACACTGAGCTGTCCATCTATCACGTGCTCCTATCACTGTATCTTTCACCGCCACCTCCACACCAACCCAACTGGCCTCCTGCCCTCGAACTGGTTTCCAAGCACGGCGCACGATTGCCAGCAGCGACAACCCTGGATCTGATCCCGCCTAGTCTGCCCGTCAAGGATCTTGAGTCGTACTTCTTTGGACGGATCCGCAATGCAAACTCGCTTCTCAACGAAGAGCGCATTGTTTCGCGGTTGCGAGGAGTAGAAAAGGTGGCAGTCGAGGCAGCAATGCTACTTGGAAATGACAACAAGACAGACCAATACGGACGCAAGGTGCCGGGTGGATTGAATAGACGAGTGGTGATTGACGAGGACCGGCATTGTGCCGTCTGCCACAAGCGGTTTGGCGGAAGCGCGATTCGCGTATTCCCAGACAACAGCGTGGTGCACAGCGGATGCATGCGGGGCAGCGTGGGCAAGAGAACGACTGGGGCGGCGGGATGGCGGTGATGGCGCGTAGAAGGTCTGTATGGATAGTATATACCCATGAATCGAATAGCAACTGTCTTGTATATGTGTGCATGCGCTCAGTCGTCGTCGACCACCTCCTCGCCATACGTCTCCTCGTCCTTTGCATCGTCGGCAGCCTTGTCGTCTGCCATTTTCTGGGTGAGGAAGTCGTTGACGTCTTTTTGCATGGTTTTCATCGCTGATGCGAGCGCAGCCAGGTAGGCGACGCGGTCGGCAGTCGAGGGTGGTGAAGCCAGAGCGGGGAGGTCGGAAGAAAAGGAGTGGGAAGGGGATGTGGGAGAGGCGTAGGTTGCTGTTAGGGCGGGCATATTTTATGTCGGGGGGAGGGATATGTAGGGGGTGGTGGTGAAGGAGGACAAGGAGGAGGAGGAGAAGAAGAAGAAGAAGAAGAAGAAGAAGAAGAAGAAGAAGGAGAAGAATGATACGGCCAAGGGCGGGGCGTGTGCGTGTGTGAGTGGAGGGCTAGCGGGCCATGGAACAACGGGAGTGTGAATCGACGTCGACTGTTCTGCCAACCCACCCACTTGCTTCCCCGTCCCCTCGATGCTGCTGGCACACGGCACCGCCTGCATCTGCTACGCTCCCCGTCCCCATGCCGGCCATGCGAGCGCTGGAATAGGAGCCCCGATTGCCAGGCGCCCTCCCTCGACATCGATCCATATAGCATCCATTCGCGCATCCGCATCCACACCATACGCCGTTGCCGTTACCTGACCTTCCCTGCAAGCCGCAGCAGCCACAGGGTCGCAAAAGCAACCCACCCGCTGCTATCGCCGCCCACCATGCCCTCGTCCTCTCCCCCGCCAGCAACGCCCATTGTCCGCCGCCCCGTCTCTCTCGACGAGTCCGACTCGGACGGCCCCTACGCGACCCAGCAGCAGCAACAACAGCGACGCGCTCCCCTGCCCACCTCGGTCCTCTCGCCCTCATCGCTCAAGTCGCCGACATCTACAACAGAGTCGCGCACTGCTGGCCAGCTCCCTGCCCATAACTACTCACGTCCCGCCATTACGCGCGATGCCGCCCCAAGCCAGCCTCACGCTGCCAGCGCGCACCTAGGCCATCGGCCACGCCAGCGGTCCCAGGGCTACTTCGAACCCAGCCTGAGCTCCATGAAGGAGAGCCCGGTGCGCGAGAGGGATGCCGCCATGGCCCCGCAGAGCCAGCTCACTGCCTCGCAGATCGCTGCCCAGGCCGCATACGCCCAGAATCCCCAGCATTACCGCAAGCGCTCCACCACCATCCCCGCCTCGTCAGACGCCGCGCCCATCGAACGCCCTCAGCCCCAGAGTCCCCCGGCCGCCCCTGCCCAGGGCATGACCTTCCGCACCAATGGCGTCACCTATCCCAACCCCGTCGCCGCAAGCAGAATGACGGCCACCACGGCCGCGAATGCTGCCTTTCCACGAAGCCCGCTGAACTCTCCCGGTGTCGAGGGTTCCCAGGCCCAGGCCCAAGCCCAGGCTCATGCCTCGCCCAAGCCCGCGTCGACACCAGACCTGTCCTCGCAGAAGCCAAAGGAAGGCAAGAGCAAGATGAAGCTGTTTTCTTCCAAGCCCAAGAACATCAAGGTCGACAATCGCGGAGAGAGTAAGCACCAGGCCCTACCCTCGCCTGGCAAGATTGGCATTGGTATACACAGCTCCCAGGCCCTGAACCGCATGATGATGGCCGGCTCGACGACAAGCCTGATCGACTCGACCACAAGTAGTGCCAATGCTTCACTCTACTCCTCGGCCAACGCGTCCACATCGACTCTTGTTCCTCCGCGAAACGACTCCTTGCCAGAACGAAAAGAGGAAAAGCATAAGCACCATTTCTTGTCGCGGCAAAAACATAAGCTGAAAGATGGAGACAGCTTTGCTCTTCCGCTCTCGTCGGCCAGCAGCAATTCCAAGCCCACTAACCCAAGTGCACCTGAACCCCTGTATTCATTCGCAGCGCCCTCGTCGCCAGGACACTCGAGTACATTTGCGAGTTCGGTCACGGGCTTGGATCTAAGGCATGGCGGGCGTCACTTGCGACGAGCAAAGAAGGAAGAAAAGGCGGCGGCCTTTTTGGATGCGCAGTTGGAGCCGCCGCATAGAGAGCGCAATCAGTCGTTTAGCATAGAAAGATCCGAGTGGCCATTGCTAGCAGGCACCATAACGACGGCATCAAATCTCTCTACCCCTGGACAGGCACTATCACATACGTCGGAAATGTCTCATTTGGGGAGCGCATTTGGTATACACGGTTTGTCGCCGGACGATGCGTGGCCGTTGTTGAAAGCAAGAGTGCTGTTGATATTTGAAGGCGAAGACCCGCGGCCTCCTGTTGAGGATTTCAACGCTCTAGTCACTGTTCACATTAAGCGCTGTATCCACAAGCGCTCTCCTATTATTCTTATCGAGGATCTCAACGAGCTTCTTCAAACCGGCTTTGGCTCATTGGACCAAACCCTGCGACATGTTCCTGACGATAGGTTGATCCCGCATCTCGTTGAGATGTGGCTTGTTGTATTCACCACCATACTACCTTTTCTTCAGGCTGTTTTTCTCCCTCTGGACATGGAGTTTAGAGGCTCCGGCATCATGACATCGGCCCAAGCGGCCGAATTCTGGGGCGTCATGCTCCCTGACGAAATGAACACCAAGAGCCCAAATCACAAGAATATACCCATACTCGGCGAACTCGAAGTCCGCCGCATGACCCTTCTCATGTTCCGCGATATCGTCATTTTACCGCGCTACGAAGCGCTTATGGCAATCTTTTCACGACTCTCGCTGGAAAACCTGAACGCAGGTCTCGAGTCACCTTCACCTATACCCCACGATACCCGCCCTGGCACTGCCGGAAGCGCAAACGATATACAATTAAGTAGTCTCAACTCTACCAGTCAAAGTAGTGGCGGCTACCTCGAATCCACAACAAGCATCACTTCCTCGACCTTTGCCAGCACCCGCTCCCGCGCAACATCCAACACATCCGCTGGTTCCTTTTCCTCGAACCCCTCACAGCATCCCCCAACAGTCGCCCATCTATATCCCCCGCCTACTTCGCACACCCAAAACATGCCCCCGGCAGCGCTCCGCCAACAGCCCATGGATAGCACTAAAGTTACTGAGACAGTGGGCCGCATGCTCCAATGCGTCTCTGTACTTGTTAGTCTGCAGAGTAGCGATGATGCGCAGGAAAAGATTGGGCGGCTGAATAAAGAACTCAAGTATAATTGGCTGGGTAGAGGACGTACGGGACGACAGAGACAAGGGTTTGTGGGGCCGAGGAGTAGAGGTGGTGGGCTGAATTTAGCGGCGGGGAATGTTAGTATTCCCGGTGTTGGAGCTTGATTTTGTTTTTCGCTTCTTCTTCTTCTTCTTCTTTTTTGGATCATCTGTTGTTTTGGGAGGGTGTGTGATAGAAGGGGGGGAGAATATGTGTTAGATTCTGGTAACGGCCTGTTTTTGTTTTTCTTGGTTTAACGCCGCCGTGACTTTTTGGGGGGGAAGGGGTGTATGTGTGCATGAATAGGGGGGGACAGCAATCATGTTTTTCTTCTTCTGTCTTCCTTCCTTCCTCGTTGGCGAGTCAAAATAACTTAGATGTTTAGGATATCCCACCTCGTTCACCTTGAAATATCAAAAGATGTCAAACAGAGCCCATTATTTTCAAAAAAAAAAACCCCCCTTCCCCCACAGCCCACATCCCTCCTCTCTAAACTCATTCGTCTTTTTCTTTACAACCATCTATGTTCAAATTAACGATTCCCCCCCAATTTACAATTTGGCCCTCCCACCACCCACTCCCTCCTCCCTCCCCTTCAACCCCTCATGCTCCACCCTCACCCCCCTCGTAACAACATAAAACGCCATGCCTGCACTCCGCGTCGAAAACTCAACCTTTGAGCCCACGTGGAAAAACGCAAAGTCCCCCGCGACTAGATGATGCGTGATGCCCGTTGCACAGTCCAGCACGTCAATCTGGCCACTGAGTACGTACTTTGATTCTTCGAATGTGTAGCTGGCGGGTTTGGCGGGGCCTGCGGTGATTTTGTAGAAGCCTGAGGTTAGGGTTATGGGGGTTGTGGTGGTTTGAGTGTGGGTGCTGTGTGTGGGGAAGTGTTAGTGGTTGTGGTTGTGGTTGGGGGGGGGGGGGGG